TAGGGACTCATGGGGATAAATTAATTGAACATAGATTAAATTCATTGTGTTCCAAATAGAACTGGAAGGTCTGTAATATAACTTCTTAGTAACTGCAGATGATTTAACTTCTTTCGACAATTAGACTTCTTTTGGAACTTGGGATGAATTTGCAGTAGTTAACCAAGCAACAGGCAACATATTTAAGTAGTCATTAACCCACTGCTGAGAACAGACTACATAGTACTACAGATTTGGGATAAAACTACACTAGATTTAATCAGGCCACTAATTTACATGGCCTACATTTAGACACCCAAGTTCAAAGAGATGTAGTGATAGAATATGGCAGAGTGTGATGAACTGGAAAGCTATCTAGGGATTAATCCATTTAACATGATCTGAGAAGCCTGTCAAGTGGGAGGAGAATGAATAAGAAAAGGAAGTGTAGAGACCAGGTCTGTGACTTAAGTCTTTCATCTACACCTTCTCTTGCTGGTTCCTTCATCTGTGATGATTTTGAAATGTCTCTTAGCTGTGCCATAAAGTATGAAGTTAAAAACATAACTTCTGTATTAACAGAACTGGATAACTAGATTGCTGTCAAATTTTTGCATGTGGTGTATTCAGCAGCAGGAGTAGACAGCAAGGACTCTGTGAGCAGTCATCTCTTCCACATGTCAGATCTTGCAGAGACACTCAACATCTGCAGGATGTGTTAGGTGTTGGTGGTCAAGGGATTTGGGGCTTTCCAGCCCCTCCTCGTAATCCTCTTGCAGGGAGGCAAGGTGATTGCCTTTTCTGTCTCCAGTGTCTCACCTGAAGCTCATGGGGAGAAAGTTTCCTACAGGTTGGATGAGGTATTCCCTTAATATTGCCATATACTGATGGACAGCGTAGGTACCCAGGAAACACGTGAAGGTAATTGTTATCCTCAGAGGGATATCCTCTGTGCAAAAGAATGGTGACTTCCCATTGACAAGAAGTCTTCTGTGCTCCGAGTTGCAGATTCTTGCAACTGATTTCTATGGTGCCTCTCTACTGTAGGTTCTAGAGAAAGTTACAGTGGTGACTGCAGCAGTAACAGATTTGACCTTCCACCATTAATAGAGCTGTGCAAACCAGGAAAGTTTACAAAAACAGTCCTGGCTTCATAGCTTGTACCAAACTTGAAACTTTGCAAATGCACAGATAAAGCAGAAATACTCATTGAATCCATTTCTAGATTTATATCCAACTCTTTGATGTTTACACACTTAGACTGTTCTGTGTGAGTCCTAGAAACGCACTGGACAGCATAGTACAGAGAAACAATCACAGTTCCACATTTAACACTCTTACAGTTAAAAAAGTGGGAAGAGAACCAGAGGCTGTGATGTGCTGCCGTAGTGGCCCAGAGCCACATAGCAGGTAAGTGGCAAGGTTGGAAATAGGAGTCCGGTTGTATCACTTCAGAGTGATAGCTCACTCACTTTAAATATCTTTTAAATTATGCTGTTTGCCTTGGGAGAATCAGAAGCACGACAGACCACCAAAGAAAGAAATGTACAGACACAGTTGTTGTGACTTGGATATGGAAAAGAAATGCAAGATGACCAGAGATGGGTGTCACAAAAGAGTATGTGCAAGTACAAGCTTTGTCATGAAGACATAACTACACAACAATGTAGCCTATGATTTCTCCAGCATTCTGTCTGTCTGTGGTTTCTGTCATTGCTACAGATTTTTTAACTGGCATCCTCTCAACCTGGCTGATCTTTTAAGTCTGAAGTATTACCATCCTGTTTATCGATGTCTGGTGGACTTTATGTAGATTACTTTCTCAGAATAGATCCAGCTATGCCAACAGAAAGCCTAGCAATGCCTACTTTGTCTGAGGGGCAGGTGTTGGCTGCGTCAAGGAGGCGAGTGTCCTGTTGGAAGATGTGACCACGTTAAGGGTATGCCGGTACTACAGACTGAATTGTAAAGTTCAGAGTTATCTGAATTAAATGTAAATTAATATATTCAGGTAACAAAAAACAGTCACAACATGAAGCTCTTGAGTTCATTTCTCTCAAGAGGTGAAATAGCTGAATACTCAGAAATTTGAAAATCCAGGCTTCTATTCAGATCCATTCTTAAAGTCATTATCTGCCTTTCTTTTTTGAAAGGTGTCTAACTCTGAGATCTTCATCCTGCTTCTGTGGCAAAGTTTTGGTCATGAGCAGTTGCAATATCGGTGTCCTTTAGTAGCTGGATGGCTGCCTTTGCTCCAGGAGAAAATAACGTGATCCTGCCTGGTGGTTTTGGTCAAAATTGTTTAAATAGAAAAAATGAAAAGATGATACAATCAAGAGAACTAAAGCCTTCTTTCCTTGTAGTGACTCACAAGAGGCTGATCACAGTGAGTTGTTCTACAAGCAATGTAACAATGCCATTTTCCATTTTATCATACTGAAATGCTTAAGCATTTTGTTACTGAATCCTTGCAAAGCCAACACAACATTAAGAAGCTTGTAAATGGGAAAAAAACAGTGCAGGTTGGCATTTTATTGTTCACTGGGGACTTAAGTTTCCAAGTGATTTAATGGCTCGGTAACGATGTTTAGGTAGGCATGTATTTAGTAAGGTATGGCCAGCGCTGGTTGCAGACACTGGTTACGTGCAGGAATGAATGTGGAGCAGTTGTGTGGGCATGGGCAGCCTGAGGCTGCTCGTCCCAGCACTCACATGTTGCTGGTGTCACTGGGAAAGGAGACAGAGCTCCTGTCCCCTTCACCCCTTTGGTAAATCTGCTCTGGTGTCTTGTAGCTGGCTGCAGCAACCTGTCAGGTTGGATCTGGCAAGGTCAGACAATCAGCCTCTCTCAAATGCAGCAGAAGTGTTAATACTTTATTTGTGGAATCACATTTGGTTTCTGCAGTTCAAAAGCTGAGGTACAGGAAAAGGGTATATTATATTTGCAGGCAGGGAAGAGGTGATCCACTCTTAAGAACCCTTTAGAAGTCCTAAAAGAAATGGGGAATGTTTCCCCAGAAATACCACAAAAACAGAGACTCTAACCACGTCTTTTCCTTGCCTTTAATTTGCTTCAAAGGATGACATGCTTGCTGACCAAAGTACTGGCAAAGCATGAGACAACACAAAAGGTTGTGGTGTGGACCTAAGGATAAGAACATCAGATTTTATTAGTGGGGGCTTGTATTACTTTCTCACTAAGGGTGTGGCTGTGGATGATAATCAATTGGCTTGGATTTTTTTCCTCATAAATCTATAGTCTTGTGGCAAAACAAGAGATAAAGGACCCACCACTGTACCCAGTGGTGCAACCATTAGCAGGGACTGCAGAGAGGCATTGTGCAATGCTGGGAGTGAAATGGCAAGGTAGGAAAGAAAATCTGAGAAATTGAGATAGTGCCACTTCTTTTCAAGTACAGTTTGAAATGCATGGATAGTATGTAAAAGCTATCTGTTATAGTTATTGTTTTGTTATTGTTGTGGCTTGAAAAACAAATTGATATCATTCTGTTTCATATATAATTCTCAATTATAATAACCCTTAGAACTTGCATGATGTGTTTTGTCCTTAGATCAAAAACTGGGGTGAACTTCCATATATTTGGTATGAGAGGCCTAGAAAATCAAGTTGCCCAAGACATTACAATGAGCTAATTGGAGGACTTCAGCTAACATGAATATTCCCTGTTTCATATTCTAAATGGTAGCAGGAATAAAAAATCAAATTGTCCGTTGTAATTGAGGCAGAATGAAAATCAAGCTCAACTTTTTTAGGAACTGGTGGCAATTTAAATATCGGTTTAAATCGTTTATTGTTGTTAATATTGTAAAATATGCTCAGATCACGTGTGACAGCCATATCAAAGTGCTACGATTTACACGTGCTTTTCTACTTGTACTGAAAACAGTGACTTGTGTAAAACATGCGATCTCTATATTTATCAGAAGGAAAAGGCACAATTGCTGGCATTGCTGTATCGTATGTAGAGCAAACCCGTGGTGCAATTTCATGCTGGCTGCTCATTTTGAGGAGCACTCTGATTCATTAGCCCAGTGGGAAGAAAATAGGAAGAAAACCCTTTCATTTCTGAACTCTGAAAATTTGTTATCATTTTGGAAAACACCTTATTACCACTGCAGCTATCTCCTCCAGAAGGAGCTGGGATCGAAATAGCACAGAATGATGCAGGCTTCTGGGAGGTGTCTTGGCAGAGTCTGAGAATGGGAAAATAACGGTCAAAGGTGCCATGTCCTGACAGAGGATGAGGACAGCTTCCACAATACAAGTCAGAAATGTGTTTTTCCTTGTCCTAATGTATATCCCTAGATCACACCTTCTCTGAGAGATGTCCAGGGACTCGCAGACACTTTCCCACTGGGTGAGCCGAAGATACTCTTTGCTGAACACATCCTGGGCAAAAATGCCACCTAGGCACCTTTTATGGTGCCTTCACCGTATCCCCGTGTGCTTTTTTGATAACAGCAAACACACAGACAAATATGTGGGGACAGAGTGGAGAAGTGCTCTTCCTCAGTGTTCATTCCCTACTGGATTCTTCTCTAGAGCAAAGGGTGTGGGAACAGAAAGAGAAAAAATGAGAACAAAGAGTAAGAGAGAACAAAAGAGGCACATGACAGAAGATAAGTAGAGAGAAGAAATGCAGCCTGGGAGTTTAGAGAGAGAAGTTTTAAAAAATCGCTGCAACATGTGGGCCAAGTTTCCTCTTTAGGTCATTATATTGGAATGAGAGAAATACAATCATTGTTGTCATTCCTTTTGTTTATCTTCCCGCATTTCTCTTCTGTGTTCAGCTGTCTATTTTCTCATTAGTTGTTGCCAGACTTTAGAATTTTAGCCAAGTCTTTTGCCTATTTTTCTTGCCCAGTGTATGAATAGGCCTTTCTTGAGCATGCAAACTGTTGCGGAGACTGTGGTTTTCTTTTCAGTGGAGAGAACTAGGTAACTTCAGAATAATTAGCTGACATTTCCTCCCCTCCCCTCTTTTTTTAAAGACAATTCCTCATCTCTCCAGGAAGATGAAGAGATAGATATGGAGGCTGTCAACTGGCAGCTGAACAACACCTCCATGAATGGGCATTCATCTACTCCAACCACAGTTCGCTTTCCCAGCTGGGTCACTTTTGATGACAACGAAGTCAGCTTTTCACCACAGAACCATTCTCCGTTGAAAACAGAAACCCCTCCTGCAGAAACACAGAGTCCAGATGTTAACTTTAACGTCACTACATCCTTTAAGAAAAGAGAACGTCCTAAAAGCACATTGGGAGACCTCACCAAAATTCAAAAACTCGATCTCTCCTCCTTAACCAAGTTGCCTTCCGTTGAAACACCACCATGGAGTGCTACTAATCCCTTCCTAGATGAATCTCTGCGAGATGTCCAACCCTCACCCATCAATCCGTTTAGCTCATTCTTTGAGGAGCGAGACAGGCGTTCCAAAAGCTCTTCTGTCTCCAGTGCTCCAGGCAAAAGCCAAAGAGACTCTCTCATTATTCTTCATCACGAGCCTGATACCATCAGTTTCCATGAAGCAAACAAAAGTGTAACCCACACAGATGCAGTAGAGCAGCTCAAGCAACTCCAGATTGGAGACCCAGATCATGTGAGCAGCTCTACCTTGCCTGACGATGACCCCATGATGCCATATGATCTGGATGCAGCCTCATTTAACCTGGCACCAACTCAGCCAAAGGATGGATGGCCAATGATGCTCAGAATCCCAGAGAAGAAGAATATTATGTCATCCAGGCACTGGGGACCAATATACGTCAAGCTGACTGACAGTGGATATATACAGCTTTTTTATGAGAAAGGACTGGAGAAACCTTTTCGGGAATTCAAACTTGAAATCAACCATGAGATTTCAGAGCGCAAACTCCAGAACTATGATGAGAATGGAAGGATACATAGTGTGCGGTTGGACCGCACAACCTACAAGGAGAAAAAGAAATATCAGCCTAAGCCAGCCATTGCTCACACAGCAGAGAGAGAGCAAGTTATCAAGCTTGGAACTACAGATTATGAAGACTTCCTTAGCTTCATCAGTGCTGTGCAAGACACACTGATGAACTTGCCAGCCTCATCAACAGATCTGAGCACAGTGGGACTAAACTATCAAGAAGAAGAAATCACAGTTGATGTCAGGGATGAGTTTCATGGCATCTTGGCCAAAGGAGACAGTGTGATTCTGCAGCACAGTGTGCTGACCCATATCTATGTTCTCAGCTTCCTTTCTGGCCTGGCCGAATGCAGACTGGGCCTTAATGATATCCTGGTCAAAGGGAATGAAATCGTTGCAAGGCAGGATATTATGCCCACTACTACCACTAAGTGGATTAAATTATATGGCTGTCGGTTCCATTCATGTGTGGATGAGGATATGTTTAATAACTCCCGTATTATCCTGTTCAACCCCTTGGATGCCTGCCGGTTTGAACTGATGCGATTCAGAACTGTTTTTGCTGAGAAAACTTTGCCTTTTACTCTGAGGACAGCTGCCAGCATCAATGGTGCTGAGGTGGAGGTGCAGAGCTGGCTGATGATGTCCACAGGGTTCTCTTCCAACCGTGACTCTTTAACTCAGGTCCCTTGTGAAAACGTGATGATCCGCTACCCAGTGCCAAACGAGTGGGTGAAGAACTTCCGCAGGGAGAGCGTCCTGGGGGAGAAATCTCTGAAAGCCAAGGTGAACAAGGGGGCCACTTTTGGATCAACCAGTCTGTCTGGTTCTGAGCCAGTTATGAGAGTAACTTTGGGAACTGCCAAATATGAGCATGCCTTTAATTCCATCGTATGGAGAATAAACCGACTGCCTGACAAAAACTCAGGTGAGTGGTGCATACCAGCACTGCGGGAGTAAACTGAAAGGAGGTAGTATTTTGGAAGAACGGGATACTGGGTTTTCATGGTAAGGGATAAATCATCCACAGTAGTACACCAAAGGACATCAGTTAGTTGCAGGAAGCATTTATCTGACCCTTCATTGCAGTAGTTTTACACATCCAACGAACATTGCTGATGATAAAAAGAAGTTTAGGTTTTCCAGATGCAAAAATATGCTTTCTGTTGTTGCTTTTGTGAGTTCATTATTGGCCTCAGGCATCACACATCTCTGTGTGCTTAGCACTGTTATTGGATGCAGGACTTGTTCAGGTAACTTGCAAAGGCCAGATACTGTGCTACAGGGATGGATGACAGGACCAGATAAATTGCAGCATTTCCAGCACGTGTGATTTTGTTTCCATGCATTGCCAAGCATACTGGGTCAATGCTGTATATTTCAACATGGGTACCACAACTATGCCTATAAAGTATCTGGAATGGGGATTTTAAGAGGATGGAAGATACTGAAAAAAAAAAAAAGACATTTCCAAACAGCAGTTTTTGGCCGTGTTTCTGTAATCAGTGCAGAAAGGTAAATATGGCTTACACCTAAAGAGAGAATACCAACATAAACCCCACAAGTCTTTGTATTTCTAGCAACGTGTTCATAATTAAACATTCAGATAATATGGACAAGCTGCTGTTCCCTTTGGCCATCATTGCCAGTCATTCCACTTCCTGCCTTTCATCCATGGTGTGCAATAAAGATAGATGGTTTGGGTTTATTTTTATTCGTAGTGAATTCTACTTCTTGATTTCTCTGATATAGACTAGTTTTTTACAAACAAGATGAGCTTCTTAGTATGAATGCCATATTAATACAGCTGGGTGACTCAGAGGGTTTCTATATTCAGCATTCCCTGAAGGGAAGTTCGGTGTTATACCAGATTTAGTACTTTCTAAGGACGTGGGTTTTCTGAGTTGGAGCTGTAGTGTCAGCAAAACAGTGATCCAAGTGTTCTAATCTTTTGGATCACATTTCAGCCCCAGGATGCCAGCTTACACCATAACTTACAAATTTGGAGGGATATCACTGACAAAAGCGGAGGATCCGTGTTTTCTGTAGTGCAGGGCATAAGAAGAAAGACCTCGGAAACTCAAGAGAAATACTGCAGACAAAAATTAACCTCAGGCTGTTTATGAGCAGTAACCTCCTTGTGAGGAAAATCTCACTATGCCATCTGCACGAGCTCTGGGAATGAGATGCTGTGAAATTGGGCCTTCTGTGGCACCTTTTTTTCAAAGATCTCAGTATACTGTATTGACATTACAGCTGGGGAAATGAAAGCCCCCGACTTCAACACAATCACAGAACATGCCGGTAGCAAACCAGGAGAAGAAGCAGAACTCTTGGCTCTGCTGCCTCCTGCGAAGTGATGCTCCCCTACCCGTCACTACTTTGAGGGAGATGCTGATCTACATCTCGTTTCCTTGATCTCGTCTCTCCCAGTGTAAGACTTTAGTATATGTAGACCATGTGTCAGGGAGAAATGCGTCACAGACTTGGCACTGCTGTTGGAGCCCTGCCACAGAGCATCTATCCATCAGTGTCACCGTGCAGAACACAGGGCAGTTAGTATTTGTTTACATCCTGAGAGGAAGAGAGTGTCCTCACCCCTCCGGTCAGGTCAGATGAAATTTCAGGGAAAGGAAGAGCCTTGCAAGCAGTCTTGGCCAGGACACATGGAGTATGTGAGAGGGAGGGAATCCCAAAGTGATGACCGAACAGGCCAAGTGTAGTTTAAATCTGACCTTGCCTCTCAGGGACTGTTTACATTTCTTGACAGTATTTGTCCCATGGTTTTCCTTACTGAAAGTATATGAAAAAAAAGAGGGATATAAGTGGTACTCAGAAGCATTGATTCCCACTCCTTCTTGGATGTGCCCAATGGACCACATATACTTCTAACCATGTGATCCTCATGCATGGTCTACTCCCAACCTCATGCATGCTTGGCTGTATCAATAACTCACTTTCACCTATTTGTGGAAGGCCCTATAGATAACGTAGTTCTCAAGCAGTAACTGTAAAAATATTCCCTTGACTCGCACTTCATGCTCTTGTACTGTGGGTCCTCTGTAAATGTCTGGTCTGATCTGCAACTCCAGAGCAGAAGGGAGAGGCAGTGGCATTGCACTGCTGCCAGTGGCCACAGTCTCCATCTCCGCCTGCCTCCGGAGGCCACATGACCTGTCCACAGGACCTGGGCCGTACGCAGTGTGTGACTCCCTCCAGCACAGTGCCCATCTGCCAGACCTGTGAGCTTATAGGCATACCCTGTGGGACCCTTCATTCATCCAGGTTGTGTGCTCTGACAGATCAGTCCCTTGCAAACGTGATCCCATGAGCTCCAGAGGGCTCCAGGCAGCCACCTGGGCCTCCTGCGCTTCGCTCCATGCCCTGAACGCAGACGGGTGCGGGCTCTGTGTAGACATGAAATGTGTGACAGCATCAGCCCTGCCATGGTCTCCCCTGACCGCCCACTGCTGCAGCCCCACAGAGGAGGAGAGCTGTAGTATCCTAACACCCAATGTGTTAAGAACTATCCAGCAGCTTCACTGCCTTTTCTCTTTGTGCTTCCTAACGGGATGGGATGCTTTGCACTCTCACTCTAAGAACTTGTTATCAGCATGGTCTGTCTGTGTTATTTTGCAGCTTAAGCATCTGCTTATGACTGGACATGGAAAAACATATGACAGATGAAGGGCTGTGTATGCTCTGACTATGACTTGACCTAAAAAAACCCCTATGGACTGTATTCTACAGAGCACATCTCTGAATTCCTTTCCAAAACAGCTTGTTAAACTTTATTGCCCTTCTCATATTCACAATTAATACGATCAAAGCAGCTGACAAAGAAAGCCTATTTAAAGGCTCTGCAGAGCTTCAGTTGCAGCTGGTTGGGCTTCACATGTTTAGGTTCTTTTAATCCACCAGCAGAATATTAGGAAAACATCCACAGTCTTCGATTGTGGGAAAATGCTCTTCCAGTGAAGCGGGGACATAGCCTCTGTGCAGAGCCTTGGATCTGGATATTTGAACTTTGCTCTAGTTTGGCTGTGGATCCCAGGCATGGTGCCCAGTATACTTTCTGAAGTAAATTAAATCCTTTAATCCAAACATGTTGGGACATCAGAGTCATTTGGAATAGATTCCCTCCAGTCACAGTAACTCATGCATATATATGAATTATATTATCAGATCCTTGATTGTCAGAATGAAATGTTAGTAGCTTGAGGAAGCAAGAGATGCAAAACTAAAGCAATCTGTTAATTTCCTCCCAATTTCACTGAAAAGCATACCTGTCTGTTAGAGAAAGCTCTGAGTGAGCCTATTGAACAAACAAACTGTAGAAGTTGAGCCTTTTGTGCCACACACTTGGGACCCTAATGAACACTGATGTGCTTGCTATTTTTGCTATACCTTTGTTGGAGGAGTTGTTTGCATAATCAGTTTACCTGACTGCCTATTATGCCAAGCTGGTTTAAATTAATAGCTTCTAGTTTTTTATGAGCATTTTCCGTGGTCATTTCTATTAGTGGGTACTCCTACTAGAAGAAATTAAATTATTGAAAAATTGCTTTGTTAATTGCACTGCATTAATTGTGGGGGATTTTTGCTTTTTTTTCCCTCTCTTTATTTCCCCTCTCTTTTCTTTTTTTGAGCCTGTGAATATCCACGAACATTCATATCTGTTAGAAAAGTGGTTGCTGGTTGCAAGTTGAATTTAAAAGCTCAGATCTCCAAAGTACCTGTCACGCAGTGTGCCTAAGCCCAGTTAGGCACTTCCCAGTGTACCTTCACGTGCATCAGTCTGAAAAGCAGCCGAGCACACGCCAGTTCAGGAGCGTAGCAGCACGAGCTGAGCACTGTGTAGCTGTGGATGTGGCTCATGCATGGGGCCACCTCTCCTGGGCTGCTGTGGGCCTCAGCTGCAACCCAGGCAGTCTGAAGGAGGGATCAGCCCACGGCACACTAGAGAAGAGGAAGAGCAGGCAAGCAGGAAGGGTTACAATGGGGAGTCTGGGAGTCCGCCGAGACTGGTACAGGGTAAGGAAAGAGACACAAATGAGTGCAGAGCCCGAGACTGGAGGTTGGTTGCCAGTACTGAGTGCTGGACACTGGATTTTTGAGCCAGGAATGACTCATTTTTAGAAATCTTTGTAACGCAGTACCAGAGAGCAGTGATTCCCAGGTGTGCACAGCAGCACCTGAGTGTCCCATGGCAGAGGCTGGAGTTCATGGCCCCACAGGTGTGCCCAGCACAGCCAAGCTCAAAAACTGACCAGAAGCAAAAGCCCTGCAATGTGTGAGGGCACAACGATCTCCCTGAGAGCACGTGGGACTGCTGCTAGCCCGTGGTAGCCGGGGTCCTCTTGAAGATCTGCTGTGTGCCACTGCTTTTTATCCAGAAGCATGCCTCGAGTACGAAAAGCTGAGAAGAGCTGTCAGAGAGACATCCCAGCTCGCTCTAAAACCAGAGCAACTAAGCCATTACTCTGTTTGGGATAATTAATTGGGATTAAAAGCAGGTGATAATTTTAATGCTTACAGACCTCGAGCTTTTTTATCGGCTTAATACTGCAGCTGCGGTGCTGCATATCTCTGTGGTTTCTGCTGAACTGCATAGCTTCTCGTTGGATTTGCTTAACAGACGTAAGTTTATAAACCTTGCAGTTGTGAGGAGACTCTGGCTAGACTGTTTAGAAGTACAAGGCCGACTCTAGACGAAGTTTTTACCTGGACTTACACCGAGCTGAATTTTTTTCCAACTCTGTCTCAAAGGTTAAGTGGCATGTTGCCATCCCTAAGCCCTCTAAATATCATGCTGTTGGGACAAGTAATATCTCAAAATCCCGCATCTTGATTTTCAAGCTTCAGCTCAACAAGGCCAGCTGTTGGGCTAAGCTCTGGATGAGCAGCTAGCCTTTTCAAGCCCAGGCTTGCAAGTCCTTCACCGGCAGTGTTTCCCTCCTCTTCCCAGGGGACACTTCTGGGCTTTCCCCATGCAGTTATTTTTACTCTGCCTGCCTTCCTCCTTGTCTCTGTCCTGTACACCTTGCTGAGCTGTATGGACCTTTCCCAATGAACAAATCATTAGAAATCCCAAAGCCAGTAATAGTGACAATGATTCCATCAATTTATTTATACATGGCTTTCATTTACATATACTTAGATAATAGCATTCCTTCAATCACAAAGCCCAAGGTGGCTTTGAAGGCTTTAATCCTCATCCTGCAGACAGAGAAACTGAGGTGCAGACCTTAAATGACTTGCTCCAGTGCTTGGGGATTTAGCAGCAGTCAGAAATAAAACCAAGCTAGCTTGATTAGCAGTCTACTTTAATCTTTAAACATCACTGCTGTCCAGCAAAACAAATGGGAAAAAATAATAAAAGTTGTCACTTACGTATGACAGAGCTAATCATGATTACTTGCTCACCTTGCCACCTGTAATGACTAGCCACCTTGTCTTGAGTTAGGATACAGGATAAACAGTTATTTCCAAGCTCTGCATAAATTTACTTTTTGAACCCAGGATAGTTATTTAACAATATCTAGTATATTTTCCTTTGATAAAAATGGGGATAAATATTTCAAATAAATGTGAAATATCTAGCAAATCCCACCTTCCTTACTATCAGTACCTGGCATTTCAGAAGGATGTGCCACAATATACTTAGCACATTACATATGCTGGGTGAATCAGAAGAATGGAAGTACCTTCACCCTACTGTGCTTGATTTACATCTTGTATTTTCACCCACTAAAAGCAAACCAGAGTGACTGGCAGTTCTTTTTGCAGTTTGTTTAATTCCTCTGGAAACTCCAACAGTATTGAAACAGGTCACTGGCTACCAACTTGAAATGCTGTCACTTACTATGAATGAGTTCACTCAGGCAGGTTTGTGGTTTCTTGCAGTTTCATGATGTTTCTTCTTCCTAGATGTTGTGTTTTCTGATCCATCCAACACAACTTTCATGTCTGTTTGCTCTCTTTTTCCAGCTTCTGGCCATCCTCACTGCTTCTTCTGTCACTTAGAGCTTGGCTCTGACCGCGAAGTGCCTTCCAGTTTTGTACGCTATGTAGATGTGGAATTTGACATGCCCACCACGTCTGCGTCCAAAGCCGCTGTTCGGTCCATCTCTGTTGAGGACAAGACTGACGTGAGGAAGTGGGTCAACTATTCAGCACACTACAGTTACAAGGTAAAACTGAGCATGTGTCAGTCACCGTGGTTACTGTGCATACTTCATTGTCTCTAAAGGGGCAGGCAGACAAAATACCATGGGCAGATGAGGTGGGAATTTGGCACATGCCAGGCTCTGTGCGGCAGCTTTCCACGTGCAGCCTGTAATTCATGGCAAAACAAGCAGTGCGTTATCCCTCAGCGAAGATGGAATAAACTTGCTTGCAGTTGCTTTGTGGAAGAGCTACACGCAGCCACCTGCTGGGGATTAGCTGACAGAGTAAGAGTGTGAACTGGGAGTTTTGCTGCTCTTCAGAGCAGCTACAGTGGGAGTGCTGTAGCTGACAAAAGGATCGCATTATTTCTCTGCTTAAATATTTCTTCTTCCTGCCTGCCCTAAGGAGAGGAGCAGATGGGAAAATGTGCTTCGTATATACCTGCCAAGAATCTCTTTATGCCAAAATTTGCATGTTAGCTGATCACTCAGCAGAGAAATTGGCATCCTACCTGCCTTCCTTAAGAGCAATGATGAGAGATACTGAAAATATTCTTATGGCAAATATGTTTAATGGTAATCATAATTACATTTTTAGTAGTCTTCTGAATTCCCTGGAGATGGTATTTGATATTCCTGAGTATCCCTTTTAAGAATTAAACATTTCCAAGTGTTTGGAGGTGTTGACATTTAAAACACAAATGTAGATATGCATTTTGAAAATTAATCTCTTTTGCTTTATACAAGTCTTTGCAGAGTTCAAAACTGGGGCTGGTCTTATGCTCACGTAGGAAGCCACCTGTCCTCTCAGATTTGGTTTTGGGTTTGGATTCAAAGTACAGCTAGGATGGTAATAGATATAAAATCATGCGAGACCAGTTCTCTGCGTGACATGATCTCTTCCTGAATCGTAAAACTGTTCAGATTAGATTGAGAACACTTACCGTAAATAAAATTCAGCTTTCCCTCCTCAGTCTATGTCTCTTCACAACCCTCTCAGTTTACCGAGAGTTTCTTCACCTGAGCAGAAAACAAACTGCCATTAAGGAAGACTTTTTAACGTTTTGTTTTCCTTTCTCATTACAACTGTTCTCATTTTTCCTCTGCCAGGTCGAAATAGAGCAGAAAAAAAGCTTGACTGAGGATCTGAAGGGAGAAGACACTGCGAATGTCAATGAATGTGCTACGCAGTGAAGGAAGACCACCCAAAAGGAGTGGTCAATTTAACAGACTGGGAAGAAAGAACTTGCAGGGTTTTGGTATTTTTCTTTTTAAAAGTACAGAATACTGCTTTTAAGATAATGCTCTGAAGAGTATTATTTTCCTTAAGATCCGTTTTTTTAGAAGAAGCTTCTCAGTGGATTTTTTGGAGCAGACCCATGGTCTTTTGCTGGAACAATTTAAGTACAGTTGGGATATAGACAGAACAACTTGTATTACAGTCAAGCCTGCCTTTTCTGCCTCTTCACCATGTGGGTTCTGCACTGAAGTATGGTCTGGCCACCATCACAGCCAAACCAGAAAACAGCCTTTATCTCACTTACAATCTTGCCCTCCTATGTTAAGCAGGTTTTTTTGTATGTGTGTTGGTTTGGTCATTGGCGGATTCACTTCCTTCTGAACTGCCACATAAAACCCAGGGAGCGTTGAGTGAAAAGTGATATAAAATCTCATTTCTGAAGTGGTCAACAGAGTGAAAACCCTGGGCATCGTTCTGGAGAATCGCCAAACTCTGCATCTTAAACACAATAAATGGTCAAGCAGATGAACTACAGACAAGACAGCTAATCATGTAACTGTTCTTCTGTTCACCCCTTCCTGCCTCACCTCCAGAAGGACAACATATCATTGTGCACATTTTCATGGGGTCTGCACAAGTTACAAGAAAGCCTCTGCGATTTCTTAAAATTTCTTTTTTGTTAATCTGGGCTGTTCTGTTGTCTTGACTGAACATGGTTATGGCTGCTAGTAACAGGGAATGTGTGTTATAATAGGTGTGGTAGAGGAGGGACTTTGATAAGATTAGATCATTCCTGCCTAGAAAAGCTATTTAAGGGAAAAACATTGGAGTTGGGGGTTTTTTATATGTTTTCTTTGATGGGTAAGGTGGGTGGTTATTGAAAATGTCAGAAGATGGTTACTTTAACAAACAATGTTATTTGCCTTCCTGAAAATCCTTGGAAGTCTGTCCAGCACAATACTACTCTCAAGTTCTATCTTAAACCTATAGTATAAGACTTGGATCTTCATAAAACTCCCACTAACTGGGACCCAAAATCTCTTTTCAAAAATTAGCAACAAGCTTCCATCCTGGAGATTTTTTTATCTTCACTTAGCTGAAAGTAACAACAAGTCTTAAAACGTCTTTCTAAATAAAAATGCAGAAGGCAAAAATAACTAATTCATATATATTTTCAGAGAAAATGGTGTTCAAAGTACACATTTTTTACAGTTGTTTCCATGGATTGCATAATATTTTGTCTTGAAGTAATTTTAAATGTAAAAAAAGTAATTTATTAAACCATTTATCTTTTGAAAGGTTACTGTTGACTTTAAAATGACACATTTGGAAAGCCTTGGCAATGTAATTTAAAATCTTAATGAATTAAAATGAAAGGGGTTTTATAAATTTATTTTATACATTTAATATAACAGGAAATTAATACACTCTCAATTTACTGCTTTCACTGTGACTCATGTAAAAATTACTACAATGTTAAAATCCCAAATAAAACATAATTCATTACCTTGGGTCTAAAACTGGTAGTGGAAGAATTTAAAACAAGTTATAGGGAACTTACAAATGCCTATTTATAAGCACCTAAACTTCAGGCTTACATCAACCTAGTGATGGATATTTACACAGATACACCACTCTAAAAATGTAAAGTCTCAGTCCTTCTAGAACTTCTTGATAATCGTGGAATATTTTGTTGTAGGCAGTCCTACAACTCCTCAGAACTCCTCAGAGCACACCAGTTAGTGCTAAGCATTTGCAATATCTCTCCCTAAATGGAAGAATGCTGCTAACTTCTATGAAGCATTTTGAGATCAGTGGATTAAAATCAGAATTATTATTTATTACATGACAATGTGTATAGGTTGTGAAATACCTGAGAGTGTGAGGCTGAATTCGTGACAGATTCTGAGCTGTGTTGCAGGCTGCCTGTGATGAGTTGCATGGCAACTCCCCTCTACAAAATTCACTCTTTTCAAAGGCATTCAAAGAACTTCTGGGAGTTTTTCCTGTTTTTCACTGCAGCTCCTGTACAGTTTCTGAAAAGGCTCAGCAAGAAAGCCAACAAAACCAGGCTAAAGGAGTGCTGAGATGTTGCTGAGGAAGTGTGAGAATGTTTTGCTGAAGAAACAGTCAGGAGAGGAAATCACTCTGCTCTGCAGGCTCCTGTCTGAATTTTTGCCTATCACCCCCCAGCCCTGGAAAACACAAAGAAATAATAGTGAATTAACAAAGTTATGCTGTACTCCTTAAAGACAGGCGAAAAATCAAAGGAATGTAATTTTTTTTTTTACTGCATCACAGTCATAGAATGGCCTAGGCTGGAAGGGACCTTAGAGATCATCTAGTCCCACCTCCCTGTTGTGGGCAGGGCCGTCACCTCTCGGCTAGACCAGGCAACACATGGGGACCTGTGCTGAATTCTTGAACTATTCAGTCTATCATACTTCAACAAAAACATGAGGAAAAACTTTTTCACAGTGAGAGCCCTGGCACAGGCTGCCCAGGGAGGTTGTGGAGTCTCCTTCTCTGGAGAGATTCAAAACCCACCTCGACATGTTCCTGTGTGACTTACTCTGGGTGATCCTGCTCTGGCAAGAGTGTTGGACTAGATGACCTCTAGTGGTCCCTTCCAACCCCGAACATTCTGTGATTCTATTTTGTGATAATAATTCGTGTCTCAAAAATTGGAAGATGAACATATTGAAGGTTTCTGGATTTACTTAATTTCTCTACCTCTTCATCACTGATTTTTTTTTATTCAAAATTGATGAAAGAAAGAGTATGGTCCTTACTCTGATCTCTCTTGTGTAGGTTGTTGTACAACAGAATTATCTCTTCCAGTCCTCATGGAGTTATGCAGACAAGACTTAGAAAAATGTTCTGGTTTATAAAAAGCTATTTTAATCCATTCTGATCTCTGGAGAGTATTTTTCTAATGTACCTGCCACTGAATTTCCAAGAGTTTAGGATGAATACCTTAGCCAGAGTTCCAAAAGATCTTACTTCCTACTGAAGCACTAGAGTATTTTGAGTCTTCAAAAGAGCACTAACAACCAAAATCTTAAGAAAATCAAGTGTTGCTATCACCAGATGTCACCACTGAATCATTTTTTTCAGTCCAACACTGTTACGAGCACTGAGCATTTGATCACCAAGATCCTAAGTGGCCTTTTTGAGGTTTTCACTGTTCTTGCTTGATTAAACAGTGCTAATTTTTCAGTGTTAGATACTGTCCCACATGAGCTTTATGTACATGAACCATATACTCTTCATCCACAGGGCTACAGTAATAATTTGGACAGACTGTTGATGGGAGAGAGGAGAAAATAGCTGAGAAGTTTGTCATTTTTAAAGTAGCAGAAATTATATAGATGCAAGCTGTGCCTGTAGTGGGAATAATTTAATTTTGTTTTTCTTATCTTAGGGAAAAATCTCTTTGAGTAGTTTCAGTGTAATAATTCCTTTTGAGAAAGACACAATCATTGTTCTTGGGTTTATTGAAAAGCTGTGTAGTAGTCAAACACTCGGTGTAGGAAATGTGCCTTCAAGGTAAGCATACATTTACTCCCTGAAGCTATTTCCACTTTCAGCCTTCTTTCTGTTCCTGATCGTGATTTTATTTCATTTCATTTTTCTGCTGTGGTAAGACTTGAGGCATTGCAGGGAATTTTGCCTACAGTAATAAACTTCAGTGGTCTTTGATCACAAAGGGTAAAGATGAACATCATCTCCAGGCAGCTTAAGCTTATTTTAGTGAATGCCTCTTAGACTTGTTAACTATGGACAGTCTTCTAGGAAAAGAAAGTGGGCAAATTCAACTGAGAAATACTGTAACTGATGTTAAGTTTGTCCTTTATTTTTTTTAGACTTAAATTCAGTCATCCTATGAAGGAGACAGATTTTAGGTTCTTCATTGAAGCAGTATCATAAGAAACACTGCAGAAATAATTTACCTTTTCTGGTGGGTTGCTGGCTGATATATTTGCTTGACAGGACATCCAAGATCTGTTGGTCTACCTGTCCACATGACTTTGGAGCTGCTAAAACTCCCTCTTATCATTCACCTCTCAGGACAATTCTGTGCAAAAGAGCATGAAAGCAAGAGGAAAGGATATTCAAAGTTCAGCCCGGAGGTACCTGCTCTGGTGCTTGGATGAAATTTTCAGTAATTTCCTTGGCCCTTGAATACACACAAACTAATCAAGACCTTTCATAGGTCACCTCTGTTCCAGTGGGTGAAAAATTCCTTTCAGTGACTCTTAGCAGCTCGTGTTTATCGCTGTATTCGTCTCCAGAACTGGCCAGCACAAGAATTTGCAGCACACAGAGATCACTTACAGATTAAGTACTTAGCCTTTTCTGTCACTAAATTTAAATCTACATAATCAGTTGCCTGAGATACGAAATGTTGTGTGATAACAGGCGTAGCTGTTCCTTGCCTTCTTGTTTTGTTGAGCCAGACACCCACCCACACATCCATCCATCCATCCATCCATCCTACGCTCCCTCCCTCTTTCTCCTATACTTGCAATTCATTCTTTGCACTATTGACATTGATTGGTTTGATGATGATTTTGTAACATGTTCCTACCATTTTGTTTTGTAAAATAAGAAAGTCTATACACTGGCTAACTTTGTAGAAGTGGTTTACTTTTTTTTCTTTTTATTCTATCAGTTGAAATGGGGTGTCATGTTTTGTTTGAACTGTGGGAAAACTTAAATAAATGTTAAGATGAAACAGCATATCCACATTTTCACCGTGAAATTGAAGTTGTATGTGCTGTATATTCTGATAAGGCATAAGTCTTGAATTCAGAAATCAGGGTGTTCTGAATGGCATAAAGAAGAGCATAAATTAGATGTAATGGGGCTATATACAGAAAAGAGATTATTTGATCATCCAGACTGAAAAACAGGCTGCAAAGGAAATGGAGCAGGGCTAAAGCTCACACCA